ATGGCTCCAATGTGAACATCATTTCACCACTAAAAAGTGTTCACTAAGATGGTTCTAATACCACTATAAAAGGCTGTATGATGATACAAAAAAAAAAATTATACGTGCTATCAAAGTAATGACTTAAAAAAAGTAAACTAAATAAAATATCATGAAATGAGTATCTCATACTTAATTTAATTTAATTCAAAAATAAGTTTTGAAAAAAAAATTAAATTTAACAAAGAATAACAAATAAAAAGACTCATTTTCACTACTAACTCTTCCTCTCTCTCACCAGGACACTCTCTCTCTCCATATAACCAAAAAACCTATATTGAAAATGATTATTTAACCAAATTAGATTTTTTTTAATCAAATCTCTTAGAATCCCATGATTTTTGTGGTTAAAAAAGAACAAGTTGTCCCTTGAGATGTTTGGAAGCTCATCGTAGAGTCTAAGATTATTTAATAGGTATGTTTAATTTTTTTTAATCAAATTGAGATATCAAAATCTGTTAGATGTGTATTTTGTTTATGTTAAATATTGTCACTTGATTAATATATGTGTTATTCTCAATTGATTTACCCATAAATTGCAAAATGCATAGGGATTTGATGAGTACTAACTAAATCTTCAACAAACTCTAATTAATTTGAATTTTTCTTGGATAATGACAATATTGAGAGAAAAAATATGTTTTGGTCATTGTTTAACATAATTTATCATGTGTTGTTAGAAATCATAAAAAATTTCAAAATTTAGGTTGGTGGATCACTTGGTTCATCAAACCCTAATTTTTAAATATTAATGTAAAATGTGATTAATTGATATCTAATCATTAGATAACATTTGTTTATTATTTTTTTCATTTTTAAACTTGATTAAGTAAGTTTAATCTTAAAACTTTAAAAATCCTCAAATTATAGGTGATTGGTTATAGTTCATTAAACCTTAATTAAATAATACGTGATTGTATTTTGTTCACTTGATGTTAAAACCTATTATAGCCTATGTTTAACCATGGTTTAAGATAATTAGGCATGTTTTAACATTATTTAACAATATATATTCTTGCATTGTTTATCATTTTAGGTTACAAAATATCATATGTTGTTGTTCACCATGACAACTTGTTATACGTTGAAAAAAAATTGATGTTATAACTATAATGCTTCTATGAACATATTGTTCATGTATAAGCAATTCTTTGGCATAGACTTGTATGATTTTCAAATAAGAGATGACAAAGGAAATTGAATATTTAATGATGCATCAATGTTAAAGATGTTAAATTTTCACAAAGGCAAAAGTGATATATATATATATATATATATATATATATATATATGTTGATGTTAATCATGTTGTTGGTTATCTAACAATGAGGATGCCAATGTGTTTCGTAGGCAAGTTTGATGATAATAAGAAAACTAGAAAAAATTACCTAAAGGAAGTTGATGTTTAAAACAAAGTTATTTTTAAATTTGATGCAAATGATTTAGATTTTAATGATGTTGTTGTTGTTGTTGACATCATTATAAATATTGATAATATTGGCATGAATATAAATGATGACAGTTTTGGTACTGAAAAAAAGTGAAAGGACTGATGTTGGCAATTTAAGTAGTAAAAGAAGTGAAAGGCTTAATGTTGTCACTTGTAGTGTATATAAAAAAGATGATGAAAAGAAGGAAGATGATGACTTTGTTGATGATGAGGGGGAAGATGACGACTATGTTCCTCCCGATGAGAAAAGATTTGAAATTTACTAACAAAACAAAAAATAAATGGATTGATGACTTAAAAGATTATTTGTGTTTTAGTAAAAGTTTGATGGTGCTTGATAATCAAAGAATGAGTGGAAAATAAGCAGTGACAAAGATGATTTTTTATGTTGGAGCTTTATTATCTCAATACTAACCCAGATTAGTTGCATTGATTAAAGTATGTACAAGAACATATAAATTTGATGGGTTTTATCTTGGGTTGTTGTTAAATATTATGAAAAATATTGTATGGATCATTTATTGATGTCATAGAATGTTTAAACATTAGATTTTACTTTATGTTTATTGCAACTTAAATGTAAATTTTCTAGTGTTATTCATTTCATTTGATCATAATAAATAATATTAAAATTAGAAATATTAAAATTAAATACACTAAATTAGCTATTAATAACAGCTTTACAATTACAAAGCTAGTTTTTATATTGTGATTCTTAATCTAAATTCTACATAATTCATCTTTAATTTTCTTCTTTTTATCTAGTGTTTTATCGATATTATTTGCACATTCTCTTAATCCAAAAATTAATCCATCATTAATAGGTTTGCACCAAGAAATGAATGTATAGTCACATAATTTGTCATTATATTTGTAGAATAACTTATTTTTATTTATATATGTTTTCAATATTCTGAGAACTATTTTAATTCTGACAACTATTTTATATATATATGTGTGTGTGTGTGTGTGTATGTATTGCATTTCCTATTATTGAATTTTAATCAATCCATGTTGTTTTAAACTTATAGACTAATAACATTTGATGAACACAATGACATGTATTCGATAACATAAACTATATATTTTAGGTTATTGTTGATAATGTGTATTTTGGATTATCATTAGTTCTAAATAAGCTAGATTTTATAGTGGTGTGTTCTTTAATTTAATGATTATATTTATTGGAAATGTTAAGGGATGAAAAAGAGCATTTGTTAATAGTTACATTTACTAGAAATGTTGAGGGAAAAGGGATTGAATTTGTTATAAATACAAACATAATGACATTTTATAAATATAAAGCCATTGTTAAGGGTTACTTTTTCAAAATATTTATCAGCATTCACTGATAATTTTATTATTTTTAAGTGATTGAGCTTTTTAGTTATTAAGTTTAAAATAATAGTAAGCTTGTAAATATTTTAATATTTTTTATTGATTTTAAAATATTATTAATTATTAAAACTAAAGATGTAAAGTATAATTTCACAAAACTTAAAGATAAAACTTGAATACTAATCATAATGAAATTTGATTTTTATTAATTAATTATTTCAGGATGAAAAAACATATAGAGTTCTCAAAACAAAATATATACACTCTTT